GAAATGGAAGGAAGTCAAGCTCGAGGCAGTCATGCGCGGGTGCAGCTAGTCAACGACGATCTTGGAAGGAGCGACTGTCACATGAAGGTACATGAAGGTAGCACTTTCCGATTCGTCTTTGTCTCTTCAGCAAACAGTCACCATCACTGCGTGAAGCTGTGATGAGATTGGGTGTGAGGTGTAAGACGATGCTGGATGGGTCGTGTTCTGTTCCTTTCTCCTCTCCGGGACATGGGTCTGATGGGCATGGGAAGAAAACCGGAATGAAAATAAAAGATGAAATAAAAGATGAAATAAAAGATAAAATAGGAAATGTTTCGTTTCAAGAACGGCTGCACAGCGATCCGAACACGGTACCAATGAAAGGATTGGACAGGACTGGCAGGTCTACAAAAGAAATGGTAAAGAAAACCAATGGTTGCTTCAACCAATCCCGTCTACCAGACTCTTCGTCGGCGTTTCTTTGAGTGTTCGCTTTTGCTGTAGTATTTTGGTGGGGCGGCGCAAAGGCCGGAAGCTGGGTTTCCCGGCCTTAGGGCGGCAGGAAAGAGGGGGCCAACGACAGGGGACGGTTGGAACTGGACACGAAGGAGCACCAGACGTTCTCCATCAATTCAAATGTTGCCATGCACCTTGCAAATGTTTACTTTTTCGTTTTTTTTTTTTTTTTTATAAAATTCTTTTTTTCTTCGATGGTGTATTCTAGTGAGGTTTTATTTCGGAGATTTATTCACAGATCTCTACGGAACATATGTGTGATCGTTATTTATTTACTTCAAATTTGTTCACGGATTTGTGTTGCTCGAATGTCGCGCGTCATGTGGATGGCACCTTTGTTCCCTGTTAGTGCGGCTTACTTTGGACTCGTCCAACCTGCGGGTCTGGCCGGAAGCTATACGATCCGGCCTTAGCAGATCAGAGTGAGATGAAGAAGCAAGCAATTCCTTCTGGCACGGATGCAAACGAGAAAGGAAAACAAAGATGTCGGTTGCTGACGTGCCCCATTCAGTCTATGTTTTGTAAAATGAAGTACGTAATATTCATCATATCTATTCCTTACATTCTATTGTCGATCTTCATCTTTTGATTCATAATATATACAATGTCCTATATTATCTTTTCTTTTTTTTTTTTGGTCTTCTCTCCTAATCGCAGGCTATTATTTATAAATGATTATGATTTGTGTGCTTACAACCTGGCTGTCAGGTCCCCGCCATGGACGCTGGCACCGCCTGTCCACTGCAGCTTGGCCGGTACCTTGGGCTGGATCACAGGCGTCCACACAGTATCGTAGAGGCTCGGTCCGCCGTCGGACGCCTTGCTGCCGGGCTCGAGGCTGCCAAGGGCCTTGGAGTCGGTGCAGCAGGGGCTCGCCGTGCCCCAGATCGGCCCGGCAGCCCAGGCAGTCCAGCCAATGTACTCGTCGTTGGCGGCCATGTAGTCGAGCATGGCGCCGAGCATGTCGGCGCAGCCGGTGGCGTTGGACGCGCCAAACTCGGTGATGAATGCCTTGAGGTTGTTCTCGCGCAGCCAGGCGGTGGCGTGGGCCAGGTTGGTGGCTGCGTCGGCAGTGCAGGCAGCGTGGGTGCCGCTGTAGTCGACGTCCAAGTACTCGTGGATGTCGATGGCGGTGTTGTTGCTGGGGTCCTGCAGCTTGTTGAGCCACTGGGACGAGGCCTCAGCGCCGCCCTGGGTCCAGGAGTGGCCGCCGGTCCAGGAGTTGCCGGGAGCCAGGATCAGGTTGGACGTGGCGCCACTCGCGCGAATCGCGGTGACGGCTGCCTGGTTGTTGGCGAGCACGAGCTCCGAGGGCATGTCGTGTGGCTCGTTCATGAGGCCGAACATGACGCGCGAGTTGTTCTTGAAACGGCCGGCGAGCTCGCCCCAGAAAGCGCCAAACTGGGCAGCCGTGGCGGTCGTCGGGTCGGAGCTGTTTCCAATGACGCTGCCGGACATGGGCTGCTGCGACGGGTCGTTGTAGCGCATGTAGTTGTGAGGGTCCAGGATGGCGTACGCCTTTTTGGTCACCGTGATGTAGTCAATGGCCTCCTTGTAGAGCGAGAAGTGCGTCTCGTTGAACACGGCGCCGAGACCCGTCGCCAGCGGACACATTCGCTCGAGCAAAAACGCCACGCGGAACAGATTGACCTTGTTCCGGTCGATGTGCGTGTCGACGGCCGATTTGCTGATGAACTGGTAGTCGACTCCAAAGCGGCCCGGCAGACCAGCGCCAGGCGTCGACGCCGCGCTCCAGACACCAAACTCGCCGCCAGACTCGGCGACGCCAGCATAGTAAATGGTAGCGGCGGCTTGGCCCGTCAAGGTACCCAGAGCAGACAGAACAGCAAAGGCTTTCATGGTGAAGAGGCGGGGGAGGAAGTGAGGGCCGCTGTCGAGGATGGACAACATACAGGCGAAGGAGACATCGCAACGCCGGCTATTATATATTGTCCTCGCCGAGTGTACGACACGGACGTTAGTGACAACGGTGCACATTCCGGGGGAAGAGTCGCATTGGTGGAATCCGGGTAGCCTTGTCGTTCCTGAATATGGCTGTGGAGATTGTCCAGGGAATTCGTTCTGAATATCGTGCCGTCTTTCCCCAATTTTGCAATTAGCCAGCTCCAGCACGGCGGCCTGGATGGCGCAGCTGCATCCAAACGGGTTGACGAATGCGACTCTAATGGCTGGAAGCCGGCCCGGCTTTCTGGGCGGACTTGGTTCCTCCGCTATACTATCGAGACTGGCCTTGGCCTGGACCTATTCGCGACCTCCCTTTCTCGGGGAACACTCCGCACTCACAGTTGGCCGCCCACCAACTGGACAATCCACATGGCTAGACGTACGTGCAGTCTGACCCGCCGTTCTGGCTTTGCAAAGTCGTCGCGCGTCATAGCAGACGCGTGCGTCTGCAGCCAGGCCTGCTCGTCGGCCAGACGGTGCTGCAGAGCAGCGTTTCGCGTGACAATCAGCGCATTGGCCTCGAGATCGAGGCTGTAGCTGCGTTTTGTGTAGTTGGAGCTGCCAATGACAGAGAGAGTGGCAAGGGGGCCGCTGCGACCGGTCTGCAAAGGATTGAGAGTCACCCACAGTCCCTTGGCATGGTAGGTCCAGCCGCCCGGCATGCCGACAGTGCCGCGCCGCCATTCCTTGAGCGTAACGGCGTCGCCGCGGTGCTGTGCCTGGACGGCGCGCAGAAAGCGGTGGGCGAGGAACGTGTAGGCGTCTGGTAGCAGCGACGAGACACCGGCTGATCCATAAAAGCCGTTTGCCTGTGGTGCGGCCGTGATGACCGTGTTGTTGGCCTGGGCGGACATGGCAAGCAGGAGCTTGGTAAGCGACGGCGCCGGGTTGAAATAGCCCGCCGTAAACGTCCACGAGGAGGCCGTGGCATACTGGGGAGCGGCGAGCGTCTTCAGGATGTGCGTCAAGGCAGGCTGTTCGGTCGAGCTGTCGGGCTTGAGCAGCTGCGTCATCTGCGCCAGGACATAGACGGAGGTGTCGGGTGCTTCACGCGTCTCCTTTTCGCCCGCTTCAACGCCGTATGTGAGCAGGGGACTCGTCGCGTTTTCTGTGGTCGGCTCCAACAGTTTCTTCAGGACACGCGTGGCTTGCGTCACAAACGCCGTGGGCGCCTCTAACGGCGACGGTGCCGCGTTGCTCGCCGGCCAGACCATGTCGAAGCCCTCCTCTTTGGCCAGCGTCGGCTCGATCCGGAAACTGACAGAGGCCACGCCCCGCTGAAGTTGCCAGTACGCATCCGTCAGCTCTGCCGACGAAAACACGTGGTAGCGGTCCTGGCGGTTCGTAAAGTAGTCGTTGGACAGGTTCGCACCCGACAGCAGAATGCTGTCGTCCACGCCGTACAATTTCATGTGCTGCAGGCCCCAGCCCTCGTTGATACGACGCGGAATGTACTTTTTCCGCAAGCCCGTGAGGTTCGGCGTATGGTACATGCGAATGTCGACACGCTCGGGCCCAAACTCGGCCACGAGCGGCGCCAGCAGCGATGCCGACGACGGCCGTGGGCTTTCACGGGTGCCGCGCAATGCGTCGGTCAGGATGTGCAGCGTCAGGTCGGGGTTGGCACGCAGGGCCCTCTGCAGCGTGGCCACGAGGTCGCGCTCCGATGTGCCAATGTAGAGCGTAGACAGAAAAATGCGCCGCTTGGCGCCCAGAATCATGGCCTTGAGGGTCTCGTAAAACTCGGCCGGCGTCTCAATGACACGAACTTGCGAGCCGTGCATATCCACACGGGGCGCCATGCGGTCGAGCTCGGTCACCAGGGGTGCGAGCAGGAGAGCAGCTGTGGCTGCAGTGCCGGCCGCAGCTGTGGATGCGACGCTGGCCACCATCGACGGCCGCAGCGGTGCCTCGGCGGCAGCGGTTGTGGCCGACATGGACACGCGACGACAGCAGCGGGACCAAGACTCGGCTACCCATTGTGTTTTTGACCGCACAGAGCGTGAGAAGGAGCTCGAGTAGCGCTCACACTGCCGAGTCCGTCGCGCTGAAGCTTGCCGTTCTCGAGGCTTTTGGAGCTCATGGAGCTGTATCCGGGGCCGAGGAAGGAGAAGTGAAGGCGGAGCGTGTGCGGAGCTCCGCGCCGCACTGCGGACGATCATATCGGTAGTTTGGGAGAGGAGGCGAGGTGACGCCCAATTGAAGGAAAGAATACACGCAGACGTACAGCAGAACGGTTGTTGATCCCGTCTGTTGTATTTCTTAGCTTAAATTCTGGTAGAGTTGGGCTAGTTCCGCCATGCTCAATGCCCTTTTGGTGGTGAGCAAACCAAGCTCTCTGATTGGTCAGCCCGCACCCCAGCAATGGGGGAAGGGACCCACCAACATCGCCAAACCGACAAGCGGAAAGATTTCGAGGCATCATCAATTCGCTCGTCACTTCCACGCTCGACGACAACGACGACGACGGCGGCCACCACGATTCGCTAGCGACGACTTCTTCTCCCGAAAGACAATCGCGTATCCATACACACACCATGTCGACCATTTCGCGGACGCTCGGCTACCTGCGCCGGATCGGTATCAAGGTGAGTCGACGAAACGACCACGACGACGACCACACGACAACACGACGGCTTTGACAACGGCCGGCCGCCTCCTCACAGTACACTGCTGACATGCGTTTCTTCATTCTAGGAATACTGGCACCAATTGAACGTATGTTGCGCGCGGCGCATCCCCATTGACGATTGACCGTCTCGGCATAGGACTCTCGGACGTTGACGTCCCGGCTAACTGCCGCCTTCTCTGCATCTAGTACATTGGTGCGTCCCGGGTTATCCTTCTCTCTGCCGGCCGGTCGACTGGCCGGCTGCGACAACTATACTGACTCTACCCTCCCTAGGCGATACCAAGGCCGGTACCCTCATCGGCGTCGACAAGTACGGCAACAAGTTCTTTGAGAACATGGAAGAAGAGCTGCCACGTATGTTCTCTGTCCACGTCTACACCGCCTTATACAAGTCGTACTGACTCGTACTGACCACTGACTCCGTTAGTCCGTACCCGCTGGGTGGACTACAAGAACAAGGACTACGACGCGTAAGTTGCTGCGGCGCCTGGTGTGCTTGATTTGCCTGGTGTACTACTCGTGGTTTGCGGCGCTTCCCTACGATCTTCGTCCTGTTTGCTCGCTCGCTGACGCTCGCTCGTTTATTTCCCTGCAGCTCCCAAGTCGAGCCTCTCTGGCACGCCTGGCTCGCGTACACCGTCGACACCCCGCCGCAAAACGACTCTCTCATGGCCACGGCCAACGCGCGCGCTTGGGCCGTGCCCGAACATCGCCCCAACTTCACCGGCACCCGCGGCGCCTTCAAGACCTACAGCACCACGAAGCCCAAGATCAACGCATGGGATCCCGTTGCAGCGCCGCGGCAGTAGGTGGAGGGAGAGTATAGGCGGGAGAATGGGTCGCACGGGACGGCCAAGACGGACGTGATTCTGTATATATTTAAGATGACTTGCATAGTGAAGAGTGAAAAGAGTGCTAGGCGTCAAAATCTCGGAAACAAAATAAAATCGCATTAAGACTCTCAAAGAAAGTAAGAGAGAAAGAGGAGACATTCTGATGGCAACCGGTGTGTTGTTCTATGTGTCGGCTTCAAAGTATAAACGAAGGAAATGACCGATAGGACGAGGCAATACACACTCTCCTCGGCCAGCATCGGTCATACATTCATTGCAAAACGCACGTGCTGCCAGCCTACTGCAAACGGAATATACGGTTGATACTGGGTGGTGCTGCTATTTACAAAGACCAACAAGAAGACACAACTAAAATAAATCAACTCTTTCCTCCAACGTCTGCAGGTCACCAATAAGCCATGCAGAGCTCGATGCACATATCCATGAAAACGGTAAACGGCAGAGGAACTAGCAAACATATGGCAACACAAGACAAGATATAACAGAACAAGACGATCAACGAAAGCATCAACGCAAAAAGATCACAGCACATCCCGACTCTAGCATCCCTGCACGACGCAAAGACGAATAACGTCTACAGGGCGGTCTATGACTCTTGTAGCTCTTGGAGCGGTCTAGTCTAGCAGTCTCAGTCTACTTGCTCTCGATGGCAGATTTGATGGCTGAAAAACGTTAGTCAAAATTCGATGCTTCCATTTATACAGAACGGGGGTTCCTTCTTACCATCACATGTCACCTTGGCATCGCCAAAGAGCATCCGCGTGCCCGGCATGTAGAACATCGGGTTCGGCACGTCCGCGTAGCCGCTCGCCAGGCCACGCTTCATCACAATCACCTGCTTGCTCTTCCAGGCGTGCAGCACCGGCATGCCAGCAATCGGACTGCCCGGCTCCAGCGCAATCGGGTTGACCGTGTCGTTGGCGCCAATCACCAACGTCAGGTCCGTGTCGCTAAAGTCGTCATTGATCTCGTCCATTTCCAGCACAATGTCGTACGGCACCGACGCCTCGGCCAGCAGCACGTTGCACTGGCCCGGCATGCGGCCGGCCACCGGGTGGATGGCGAAGCGTACCTGCACCCCCTTGGACCGAAGCATCTGCGTAATCTCGGCGATTGCGTACTGCGCCTTAGCGACGGCCATGCCGTAGCCCACCACGATAATGACGGACTCGGCATTCACCAAACTCTCGGCCGTCTCTTCGACGTTCGTCTGGACCACCGTGCCTTCAATCTTTTTCTGCTCGCCGTCGGCAGCCGGTGCCGTTGTGCCAATGCCGCCAAAGAGCACATTCGTCAGTGATCGGTTCATGGCTACGCACATAATGTACGATAGAATGGAACCCGATACACCAATTAATGCACCCACTGTGGTGAGCAGTGGATTGTCCAACATGAATCCCTCGGCCACGAGTGCGAATCCACTGTAGGCATTCAGCACTGTAATGACAACGGGCATATCGGCACCGCCAATGGCGGCTGTAGTCGTGTATCCCTTTAAGAACGACATGGCTGTGTTGGCCGCGAGTGCACCTGCAGCAATAGTCGGCGAACCGGGGGCCATGGCCAGGAACGCACCCATCGTGGCAACATTACCGGCCAGCAGACCCGAGTTGATGAGATGGCGGCCCGGCAGTATCAGCGGCCGCGACGAAGCACGGCCCGAGAGCTTCATGAAGGCGACAATGGAGCCCGTGAATGTAACGCCACCAATGAGCACACCCAGGTAGGCCGTGACGAGGTGCAGCGTGCTGGCGTGGCTGACATCGGCCATGACACTGCCGATGCTGGTGAGGACGGCAGCCAGACCGACGACGGAGTGCAGGGCGGCGACGGTCTGAGGAAGATCTGTGGGCGTGATGCGGCGACCAATCAGGAGACCAGCAAGACCACCAACCACGGCCAGGCCAGCGAACTGGGTGAGCACTTCCGGGGTAAAGCCAACGGCCAGCAGCGAAGCAATAACACCTGAGCCGACGCCGAGGATACCGAGAATATTACCCATGCGGGCGGTGGTCTGGGACGCAAGAGAGGATATGGAACCAATGCAGAGCAGCGAGCTGACAAGGTAGCCGGCCTGGACAAGGCCTGCAGCACCCGTTGACGCGGCGGCAATGAAACCACCCGTGAAGAGCGTGGCGGGGATGCCGTACAGCCAAGGATACTCTGGCGGATCAGTGGGACGCTTGAACATGTCGAGCATACGCTTGGTGATGACAAAGCCACCAGAGATGTTGACGAAAGCCAGCAGGACGGATGCGGCACCGAACATTTGCGGAATGGTCTCGGGCAGGTAGCCACCGCCGAGGATGAAGAAGCCACCAACACCCACCATACCAGAAATCGCATTGGTGACGCTCATGAGGGGCGAGTGCAGCGCGGGCTGGACACCCCAAACAATGCGGTAACCGATAAGCGAGGCCAGACCGAAGATGAAGGCGTTGCTCATAAACAGCGGGCCGGTCAGCTTACCGAGCGCGAGCGCACCGGTCATTCCACCAGTCACGAGACTGACTTCACGCGACACCTTCTGGAAGGGCGTCAAGGCGACGACCTCCTCCACCACGGCCTCCTTGGGCTTGGCTGGCGGTGGTGGCGGCGCAGGGCGCGGAGCCGTGGGGACAATCTCGCCGTTTTGCGTGACAATGGAACCGCGGACGACCTCGTCAGCAAAGTCGACGCCGTATTCTTTCTCCAAAGGAGCCATGGACAGCAGGAATTTGGTAACGTTGTTTGAGTACAGGGTGGAGGACTGGGTAGGTAGGCGCGAGGGCATGTCGGTGTAACCGATAATGGTGATGCCCTTGTACGTGGCCAGCTGGCCGGGTACAGTCTGCTCGCAGTTTCCGCCAGCTTCCGCCGCCAGATCGACAATCACAGAGCCAGGCTTCATGTTGTCAATAACGTAGGTTGGGAGCAGCTTGGGCGCAGGCTTGCCGGGAATCAGGGCCGTGGTAATGATAATGTCGACGTCCTTGGCCTGCTCGGAAAACAGCTTCATCTCGGCATCGTGAAACGCCTTGGACATCTCCTTAGCGTAACCGCCAGCGCCGGAGCCGTCCTCCTCAACACCCTCGACCTCGATGAACTCAGCACCAAGTGACTGGACCTGTTCGCGGGTAGCGGGCCGGGTGTCGAAACCGCGTACAATGGCGCCCATACGGCGGGCCGTGACAATGGCACTCAAACCAGCCACACCGGCACCAATAACGAGAACCTTGCTAGGCGGGATCTTGCCGGCAGCGGTGGTCTGGCCAGTCAGGAAGCGGCCAAAGTGGTTGGACGCTTCGAGGACGGCCTTGTAACCGGCAATGTTGGCCATGGAACTAAGAGCATCAAAGACCTGGGCACGAGAGATACGGGGGATCATGTCCATGGCGAAACTGGTGACCTTGCGGGCAGCCAAAAGGTCCACAAGCTCTTTGTTCTGAACGGGTTGAATAAATGAGATAAGGGTCTGGCCGGCACGAGCATTGCCAGCCTCGGTCAGCGTCGGGCCGCGGACCTTGAGCACAATGTCGGCCTCCTTCCAGATGGCAGCAGCGTTGTCCACAATAGTGGCACCGGCCTGTTGGTATGTGGCATCGAGGAAACCAGCCTCGGCGCCGGCGCCGCGTTCAACAATGATGCGCCCGTAGCCCTTCTTGAGGAGAAGAGTGACATTCTGTGGCGTCAGGGCCACACGGCGCTCGTTGGGGAAGATCTCACGAGGCGCGCCCACAGTGAGCTTGGCGTATGGCGTGGTCGGTGGGAGAACCTTGGTGGAGAATGCAGCGGTAGTCTGGACGGTGGAGGACGGCTGGGAAGGCGCAGGGCCAGAGAAAACCGAAGCGTGGCGCACGAGCTGTAGTGACTTGGCGGCGTGGCGGGGCAGCACGGTCAGGGCAAGTGAGGAAGACAAGGGTGAGGCTGACACGGACGACGCCGCCGTGCGACGGGAATAGCCAAGCGAGTTGTGCCATTTACGAGTGGACGCATTGTCTGAGATGCACGTTAGGTCGTGTGCAACCTAAGGAGCCAACAGCTCTGGGAACTGTTGTACTGGGTGCTGCACGGCAGTACTTACCACAAACACGACGCACGCAGTGACGGGATAGCCGCTCAACAGCAGCTGGCAGCGGGATGGCCGTGTGGGCCACGGCCGGGCGCACAACCAAGGACCACGAAGCTGCCATTGGCGGAGAAGTAGCTGGCGAAAGCTCTGAGCCGAGGAAGAAGAGGGACGGAAAGAGAGCAGCTGTGCCGAGCTGCAAAAGATGTTAAACTGGCCCTGCTCCTTATATGCCTTGAGGAAGAGAGGGAGAGGCGATGGGAGAAAAAGAGGGCAGAAGAGGTCACACCCTAGAAATTGGACGTTCCTCCACAAGTAAAGAGTCAGAGGTCGAGCGGTCGCAAACACAAGCTGCAGTATGTGAACGTCGTCCCCACAGTTTAGTAACCGGGGCTGCTGTGACGGGTGAAAAAAATAGAGGAATTACCAAACAAAAGCTTGTGGAGTGCGTTCGGTTGCTGGCGACGAAAAGGCTCGTGTAAGTCTCAAACTGGAGTCGGGCTAGGGCGGCCGGCGAAGGAAGGGGAACGGCCCTGACCGGGTAACTGACAGCGAGCGCCTGGCCTGGCCGTGTTACTGCGGTGAGGTGTCGGCGAATGCTGAAGCTGAGATTGAGTCGAGTCCGAATGTCTCGACTTTGCAGAAGCCCTTGGCCTTTCGTCTGGTTGTTGCCTTTTGCTGCTCTCCTCTTCTCGCCTGCACTTCAGCCTTGCACCCTCCGGCCTGGGGCCTATTGCCGAAAAGCGGAGACCAGCGCTAAAAGCAAGGACAAAGACGTATGACTTCAAAAGGCAGACAACAGTGAGGCGCAGAATGGGACGCAAACAATAAGGTGACACCCAACAATGACGATGCAGGAGCAAGAAAGAGGAATCTAGGAAGACTGTAAAGGAAAGATGGAAAGAGGAGAAGGCACCGCGGGGATCTCGGCCAGCGAAGGCTTTGCAGGCGAGGGAAACAGCACCCCAACGGCGGTTGCTCTTGCTGTGCCCGAACAACAGACGCAAGTTACAAGGCACTAAAACGGAAGGCACCCACCCAGCGGGAATCCACCCCACACCCGGGGCGACTTCCTCTTCTCCGTGAGGCTCAGAAAGACGTAGAGCAACACGGACAAGTCGTTCTTTCCCTTTTGCTTTGCTTCTTCATTCGTGTGACACAGTACTTGACAATTTTCTATAAACAAAATCGAACAATTCAAACGTCAAAAGTTTTGGAAAGTACGGACAGATTTCCGATGGGTAGCGCAGGAAGGAGTGAACGGTCGCCTGTCAATTTGTCCATCTAACCGATCACACACACTGTTTCGTCCCCCCTGCATGCAACCACGAACAACACCACAACAAGCTCCAACCGCTTGCAACCACCACTTTGACAACACCCGTTCGAGCCGTTTTACCAGCTTTCTTGCGCAGCGCGCTTCCCCGCTTTCCCAGTTATGTCCGCGTGCCTCTTTCAACCTCCTCTTTCTCTCACACAATACCTCGTTCTTTAACGGCCCTTACCCTTCCCTCCCTGAATCCAGGAACAGCCGCAAACAGCAAGTAGCAGACCCCGCCACATTGGTTCGATTTGTTTTGGTAGTGGTGGTCCCTGAATTTGTTATCTGCTGCGTCTGTGTCTCAGATTTGAGTAGTGATGCGCATAGAATAAGATACAAATATGATGTGCGCTCGGTGGCCTCGAGAAATGTCGAATGTCGCATACCGCGCCGCAGAGAGGGGAGACAGCCAAAATGCGGGGGAGACAAGGATACGCAACGCACGGCAGACGCGGGTCCTCATTATATCTGTCGCGCCTTGTGTCCGTGTACTGACGTCTCCCTCTCACGTGCCGGATCTGGCGGTACTAGGCATACGTCTTGCTGCTATCGATCGCTACGTTGTATGGCAAATCCCTCATTGTCCACGGCCTCCAAGTGGCCTTCTCCGTGTTAGACGAGAGACAGCTGCCGCAAACGCAAATACCCAAACTTGATGGGACAATCGGCAACATTATTCCCTCTGGCAAAACGCTGCTGCTGCCCAGCCTTGAATTCTGGGCTACATTGACCCGGCTTGTGAGGAATCGGACGTCGTACGTGGAGAGAAGCGAAAACGCCACCTTCATCCTGTCAGCTGCCGTGAGTTGCATCATCGGCTTTATCTACAATAGGCAACCCGATCTTGACAGCTTGGGAGAGTCGGGAAATTCTCCGGGAAAGTGGACTAGTAGTAACGAGATACACATCATACTCGTAACAAAGACGCGAGCACTGACAGGCTCTTTAGCAGGGCGGCATCTCCATCTGCCACCCATACCATACATACCCCATCTGTCTCTTGTATGTGTCCTGAAGTGTCACCACTTGTAGTATGTAGCCATGTTCTGGCATACCTTTGTGTCCCTCAAAAAGGCCTCACAGTTTGTACTTTCACTTGCATCTATTTTTCTCATGTATATTCTTATATCCGGCTCGTAAATTCCCAAGAAATATCCAGCCGAATACTATCCTCCCTGAACCCAAATATATAAAGACAAATACAAGGCTCGGCACGCTCGTTGCACCAACGCCATGCTGGCCACCCGAATCCACTCTACGCAGACGCCCGACACCCCGCTTCCGCAAAACCATGTTTATCTATTTCTCCACCGGCTTCTCCCTCACCGGCAGCTCCTTGGCCTCGCCCGTGGCGACGGTCGCCGCGTCGACAGGCTTAGCCTCACCGTCTTGTTTCGCGGCCTCGGCCGCCTTAGATGCCGCCTTCTTGGCCTTCCTCTTGTCCTTGTCAGCCTGCTTCTTCGCCTTGGCCGCGGCCTCGGCCTCCCGCGTCTCGGACGTGCCGCCGAACTTCTCTTTCCACTCGGCCACCTTCTTCTCGTCGATACGCGAAAACAGGTACGCAGCCTTGCCGATCTTATGGCCCGGCTTGATGAAGCCAGGATCAAAGGTGTCCGGGATCAGCGGCAGGGGAACGTTAAGCTGCTCGGCAATCGAATCGGACGTCGAAGGCGTGAATGGCGACAGGATGGACGCCAGCAGGCCGCAGAGTGACAGCGCATAGCCAATGACGGCTTTGGTGCGCTCAGGTTCCTTCTCCAGGCTGGCATTGTCGAGGCGGTACTGCAGAAGTGTGTTGCCCTGGCTCGAGACGGCCGTGGCCTTCTCAACGCCGCTGCGCAGGTGGACGGCGTCCATGTCCAAGATGTACTCGTCAAGCAGCTTCTGGACATCACCGACCCACGCGGCAAAGTCAAACGACTCGTCCTTGATCGACGTGGAGTATTCCGGTACCACGCCGTCAAACTTGGCATTGACAAACTTGACAATGCGGTTGACAAAGTTGCCGATATTGGCCAGCAGGATCGAGTTGTTGGCCTGCACAAATGAGCTCCACTCAAACTGCGTGTCGCTGCTCTCGGGCCGCGAGCTCAGTAGGTAGTAGCGGAACACGGACGTCGGGATGCCCGTGTCCTTTGCCTGGTCACCAAACACGCCGACCGATCGCGACTTGGAGAACTTTGTGTTCTCGTAGTTCAGGTACTCGGTCGTCGAAATGTTGTATACCATGTTCCATTTGTCGCCGGTGCCGAGCTGGCTCGAAGGGAACGTCACCGCGTGGAACGGTGTGTTGTCTTTGCCCATGAACTGGTACAGCTTAACGTCTCCGGTCTTCCACCACTCCTCCCAGTATTTCTCTGAATAGCACGACGTAATGGACGGGTAGCCAATGCAAGCATCAAACCACACGTAAATCACCTTGCCCTCGTAGCCCGGTAGCGGCACCGGCACACCCCACTTGAGATCGCGCGTAATCGAACGGCCCTCCAGACCCTTGTCCAGCCACGACTTGGTAATAGCAATGGCATTGGGCGACCACTTGCCCTCCTTGCTTGCCTTGGCGAACCACTCGTCCATCTGAGGCTGGAGGCGGTCGAGAGCGAGGAAGACGTGCTTGGTGTCCCGAGGCACGGGCGGCTGGTTGACTTTGCAGACCTTGCAGCGCGGGTTGATCAGCTCAAAAGGGTCGAGCAGGTTACCGCACTGGTCGCACTGGTCGCCGCGGGCATCGTCGTAACCACAGCGCGGGCAGGTACCCTCGACAAAGCGGTCGGCTAAGAAAGCGCCATGAGTCTCACAGTAAGGCTGGGTGGTGACGCGCTCATCGAGGAACTTGTTCTCCCACAGCCGTAAAAACATCTCCTGGACAATCTTGGTGTGGTTGTCCGTACTGGTACGGCCGAAGTAGTCAAAGTTGATCTGAAAGTCATCGTAGATCTGCTTGTGCAGCTTGTGGAACTTGTCGCAGAGCTCACGGGGCGTGACACCCTCCTCGAGGGCCTTTGTCTCGGTTGCCGTTCCGTACTCGTCGGTACCGCAGATGTAGAGCGTCGGGTTGCCGCGCTGCTTGGAATAGCGGGAGAAACAGTCGGCCGAGAGCGTTGATCCGATAATGTTGCCGAGCTGTGTTGTTAGTACCAGACTCGTTTATGAACTTCTCTAAAGAATTGGTGTGTGTGGACGTACGTGCGGCACGTTGTTGACGTATGGTAGCTGGGGAAAGTATATGTTAGCATAACCTTCCAAGAGTAGGTCCATGAAGCTCGGCAGAAGCCCGGAGCATAAATGGGGACCTCGGAGGGCGCGATACGTACAGCACTGGTGATCAGAACGTTCTTCTTGCCCTCGATGGGACGGATGACGTTGTCGGAGTCAGCCATGGCGAACGTCGATAAGCTGAGATCGGTGATCGTGGAGAATTCGAGGTGAAGGAGGGATAAGGAGCAGGGAGGTGATCAAACGAAAAGAAAGAAGACGAGGTAGATATAACAAAGTGGCGGTGGCCAAGTCAAGCTGAGCTGCAAAATATAAATGATGGCAAAACAAACGCAGGTGGTAAACAACAGGGGACGTAAATGAGGAGGCGAAGAGACAGGTGAAGTGTGACTCTCACATTCTTTTTGGGGCAAGTGGGTGTGTTCCAGAAGCAGAAAGAGTCACCAGGCACAAAGGGCAAAAGTTGCGCTGGCGCAAAACGTCAGGAAAATTGTGTGGGGAGTCTAAATGGAGGGCGAGGAGGGGTTGTGCTACAGGGTCCTGTGTTGGTGTCATCGGACTTAGGCCTTGACCCACTAATTGACGAC